TTAATATAAACTTTGAAAAATATGAAGCAAAATATTAATTTAAATTAATAATTTTTGTTACAGATTTTTTTCCTAAATAAATTCAGACATTGTGAAAATTTCTGTCTGCTTTTAAAGCACCTGAAGCCTATTAGATGGGATATTATTGAAATGTTTAGAAAAATTTGACTGAGATTCTAATCAATGTATAAATGTTTGGATCTGATTTATTAAATTTAAAAGTTTTGGTTTATTAGCTGTTTAAATGGTGTACAAATGTTTAGAGAGATGTCATTTGTTAGAGTCGTATCTTTAATAAATTGGGCATTAAACAAAGAATAAATAGCAGTGTACATTGTACTTCAGGCACCAAAGTCCCACAGGCAAAGAAAAAAAATTAAATGCCTAGTATTGTGCTACACACATGGTAGGTGCTCAATGATTTTTTTTCCCCCCTATAAAGTTACCTGGCTCTTCCCAAGTAACTTTTTATTCCATATTTTCTCCAGTATTTTATTTTTCTCCAGTATTTTATTTTTCTCCCATCTTTTCCTTATGTACCAATAACTCTCTCAGATGTGGTCTCTGTGTCTTCTCCTAGCCCTAGCTACTGCTCACACGAAGTTGAGGATATTCTAAGAAGAGTACAGGGATAATAGGCCAAAGTTATCTTTCAGATAACCTAGCAACTCCACCAAAGTTGGGCTGTGATAGTGAGTCATGCTGTGGTTATCCTAAGTGATTATACAACTAAAATTGGGGGTAGGGCTTGCACTGTGCCTTCTAAGCGGAGGACCGATACATTCTTTATGCAACCCAATTTGACCACATTCTTCAGTGATCATCACAGTTCTAAGCTCAGTTTCCCAGAAGACCCTTGTGTGGTGGAAGTTCCCATTCCCACTTAACCTGGGATGATTTATAAAGCCCCCAGTGTTTGGCACACAAGGGGGCTGGTGATGGCAGCCAGCAGTCGAAGCAGGGGAAAGAAGGATGTCTTGGACATTTTTCTGAGATAATATGAGAAGGTAGTAGATGGAATTTTGCTCTCCTCTACGTTAAGGATAACGGCTTTGCCCACTATTGCTGTAGCCTGGCTTACCATGGTCATTCTGAGACTCAAGAGTTCCTTAGCTATCTGGCAGCTGACCTGGACCCAGCATCTTAATATAGCTCGTGTATTTTAGACCAACGAACACAAAGCTTGACACAGATTGCTATTCTGCCCTTAAGTTTGTTTTCATGTCATCTTATGGAAGTAAGTGATAAAATATCAAAGACAGGTAACATGCTAATTTATCTGGACTTCTGAGGCTAGTCTACCTCACTTCACACCACAGCACGGTCTTTCTGAAACAGAAAATCACTACTTTCTGCTACCAGTTACTCTCATCTGTTGTGACTATGTCATGTTCTTGACACTGCTATTCATACCAGGGGCTCTCTCTTCCTGGCGTCCTGGCTTTGCAGGCTCAAATAAATTCCTTCATGGTGTGGTTGAAAAAAGAGTTTCTAAGTAGATTGTATCTAGGAAATTATGATCACTCACATTCATAATTTTCATCATTAAAGATAACATTAATTCTAAAATATTTGGGGTTTTTGCTCAAGCACAGGTCACTTCTAGTTCTTGGGTAGAAAATAATGACAGCACTTTGTTTCTTGACTGATTAAAAATAATAATAATTATTATTATTATGAGAATCCTCTAACAGTGGCTACACCCTGGAGCCAGAAAGCATATGTTTAAATCTCAGGTCTACCATTTACTAGCTGTCTGACCTAGGGCAAGTTAAATAAACTCTCTGTGCTTTTATTTAAAATCTATAAAATAGGGTAATAATGCCTATGTTACAAGAGTGTTGTTGAAATTCATGGGCATGGAAAACTGCCTGATATATGGTAAGTGTTCAGTAAATGTTGGCTATTATTAAAAGCTATTGAAGATGGGTCATATGATAATGCTACATATTACAAATGGACTGTTTTATTTTAGGTGATTTAAAGTTTTCTATGGGGTTCAGAAAGATTTGGATCCTCTATTATCTGAATGTCTCTTGCTCCTGTTTTTCTTTGTACTGTGTCCATTAAAATTTGGTATCATTAACAGCAACCACCTTGTTAATAAAGCCAAAATACTCTGTAATCAACTCTTGCTGTCCAAGTTTGATGAGTATTCAGCCCTTTAGCTCAGCATACCGATTGTGTAAACAGTGCAATGAATTCTAACTCACTTTTGATTGCCACCATCTGAACCAAACACGAAACCTAGTTGATCCAAAATGATTTGGGCTTTACAATGTTGTGTACTACGTGCTCTGCACACTCAAAACAGGAGTATCTTTGAATTTAACATATTTTCCTTTTCAGAAGACAAAAATTCTTTTAATTAAAAACATTTTTAAAAATTTCAGTATGTGTAATTGTTAACACCTGCTATGTGTTACCAACAGATGTTTCTGGCTTACCTAAGGGAACTGATATAATTATTCTATAAGTTTATTGGCATGGCATTTACCAAGATAGCTGGGAAACTTTAGCTGCTGACTTTGTATGCAATATTTGGTATTTCTTTTAATCTTTTCCCCAGTTGCTGTCAATTCCCACACACCCTCCCCAGCCAGGCCCACTGAAAGCAAAAATGTCCTTCTTGGATACCAAAATGGTCACAAAAATGGCCATGTCCATTTTAGTTTTTGTGAGAAGTTACTGAAATTAAATTATGTGTATTCTGAAGCTTTGTAAAATGTATTTTTAAGTATTTTAGCAGCTAATCCTTATAATGTTCAACATGGAAGTCTTACATCTTGATTATAAGTGTAGAAGTGTTGTAGGCAGTTAGACACGAGCAGAGCAAGGGAGATGGGCCTGGTACAAAAGGTCACCAGGGTGGAAAGACTAGCAAGGGGCAAAACTGGGCAAACAAGGGCCTCGACCCCAGGGTCACCTTTTGCCCCCCAGCATATGGCTGGTCATGCGGTTCAAACCCCCAGACCTTTCACATGGCTGGTCATTCAGTTTAGACTCCCTGAATTTTTCTCCCTAAACAGAACATCTGGGCCTCAGTTGTATTTCAGCTCCAGGCCCAGAAAAGGAACAAAACCAGGCAAGTGACACTGTGGCTGCCTCAGGACCAGCTGTATCAACTGATGGCCCCCTGACCTGGTACTGGCCAATCAGTGGAGACCATGACCCCCAGAGAGCACAACTGGAAAGCTGATGAATATTATATTGAGACCCTCCGCTGAGACCTCCCCTAAGATTCCCACCTGCAAAACAGAGATAAATGCCTTCAGCCCAAAGGACCCAACATGGACTCTCCCCCAGGGAAGCACACCTGCACCATTCCTCCCCCACCTTTTTACCTTTACGTGTCCCCATGAGACTTGCAACCAGGGGAGCAATGGGCACCAGCAGCTTGTCCTGGGCTAATCCCCTGGACCTGTCTCCAAAGCCCCCTTTTCTCTGACTTCCCAATGAGCCAACACAGCCCAGTCTAGGCTCTCCTATTGCTTCTTCTAAGTCCTTCCTTGTTTCACTGTCCTGAGTGTGCATTTGCTCTGGCCAATAAATTCTTGCTTGCTTTGTGGCACTTTGTCTCTCGACTGAAATTTTTCCTTCAAGAAGATAAGAACCAAGTTTTCATAGGCTCGCCAGTAATGGAAGTTATACCATCTAGATAATTCCCTTTTAATAGCTTGGCTTCAAATGAAGCTATCATAAAAATGGAGTTTTCGTTATTTTTCTGACCATTTCTAAGGTCTCATAAGCAGTCGGCTTTCTGAATTCTTCGTTTATGATACTAATCACAATTACCTACAGGCATGTGTTAAATATGACACTGGTTTCAGCCAAATAATGGGCCAATTGCGCACAATGAAGAAAGAGAGGCAGCTCCATTTATAACCGCTGTTTCAACAGAGCTCTATTGTAATCAGAGTGATCTGAGGGTGACTCATTAATTAATTGATGTTCTTTCTTAGTATGTGCCGTTGAGTTAATGAGTAATTTGTGTGAGATAATTCTCTGAACACATTGATTACTTGAGATATTTTCTGGGGCCTTTTATAGCAATGACAAGCTGAATAGGTAGATCGTATTTGCCTTTGTGTGTTCATTATTAGTAGGTTTGAGATGAGTACAAACCAGTACAAAGACACCTTAAAGTCATCTGAGGTTCAAAGTGTCCTAAGTCTGCCCAACAGGAGGTTGAGTGCTCAGGGATGAGCCTGTCACATAGCAGGCACTCAATAAATGTTCATTGAAATCATGGCTATATTAAGCTTGGCTTTCTACTAAATTGCATTATAATCACATTTAAGAAATATTTAGAATGGTGTTTTTAGGAAAAAGTAATAATCAAAAGGCTTTTACTAAAACTATATTCTATGCTAATGGCCTATTACAGTAAATATGCAGATTGTTTTTGCAACTTACTGAAGTGAACACTAAGCATGCTTGGACTATATCATTTCTAAGAAATTGTTTAAGTGACTATCAGAGGGTGGTTTGCTTACAGTGATAGTTAAGAGGAAACCACGTGTATATGGTATGTTTGACTACAGATATAATTTCAGCACCGTTTCAGGTGAGGCACACCATCTCGTCTCTGAAAAGGTAGGATTCAGTTGAAATCTTTTGCTTTAATTCATTGTACAGAAGAGAAAATTTGAAATTTAGTCTGACAACACAGTTGCTTTCAGAAAGATCACTTAAAATTTGTATGTATGTGCAAAATTATACCCAGTAATTGCTACCTTCATTTTTGACGGCTTTATTTTCCCCACAAAAGTAAATAGCAGTAAACCACCTCGCTCAAAGATCTTAAATATAATATTTGGAGAAAGCACTTGAGCTACTTTGTGGTTATGATTTACCTTTTAAAAGTAAATGTCCTTATACACTTTTCTTTTCCCTTTTCATGAACTTGATGTATGCTTTCTAGATAGCATCTAGATTTTGCCAATTAAGAGCAATCAAATAGCGTAATACCCCTTTTATTAAAAACATAAATCCAAGTGTAAAAAATGAATGAAAGATGCCAGCAGATATTTATTAAGCAAGATGAAAGTGAAATTACAAACACAGGTCAGCTTTTAAACTCAGCCAGCATTCTGGTGGACTGGAGGTGCCTGGTCCTTCATCAGAGGCGGCCTCTATGTGATGCACGTTAGGAAGGGAGCTTTCCCTGCTTGAGAAATCAAAGCTCCATTGGAGGTGTCCTACTGGAGGCATCAGATAACAAGCTAAGTGACATCAGGGCTACACCACACAAAGAGGAAAGTTGACAACAATTCAGGGACTTTGAATAGTCAAAACAATTAGCTTAGTACTTCAGGTCAAAAATGCTACACTTTACGGGCAATTAGTTATAAAATGGCCTATTTCTGTCTTGTTTCACAGGTTCATAGAGATTAAAGATAATCTATGGAGATTAAGGCCTTAATCTTTAATCTAGGAGAGTAATTAAGTTCGTAGGAAAGGCGTAAGAATTAATTCCCAAAGGATTATGCAAAATAAAAGGCAGTCAAAAACGTTTGGTCTTTGGGTGCCAAGGACAGTTTGTTCCCAGTTTACAGGTATTTTGACATATTGATCTTAACATATGCAAAACCATTTAAATATTTAAAAGATCATTTGAAAAAAGGTACTGACAATTAAAACTGTACATCCACATGAATGTCAAGCAACTCTTAAAGGGGACGAGCAGGGCTGCAGGGTCATGAAAACCACTTCTCGCTATTTCCCCCGCATCCATTTGTTCTCTTCTGTTCTGTTTTGCTGTTTTTGGTTTTGGCTATGCAAGTCTTTTCATGAAACAAATGTAAGGCTCTAAGGCTAAAACAATAGTTATATCATGGGCCCCAAATAGCTATTTTTGAAATTCTTTTTTCAGTGTATCTCGAATTTTGGAGACACGTGACTTGAACACTCTTAACCATGAAGCATTGGTAAAAATACATATCATTCACTTTTCACAGAATTGTTTTCTTAAAAATGAGAGGCAATATCCAGATTCACATGCATGTCCATAATAAAGCTTTGTTTTTAAAACAACTCAAAAGCCACACCAGCATTATTTGCAGCTTAATATTTTAGCCCCAAACCAAGAATTCAGGTATCGCACTTCATTTTCATCTGCAATACATATATAGGCAGGACAAAATATGTATGCAAATAACACTGGGAAATATTGTTTCCTATACAAGTGATCAAGAAAAAAATAAAGAAAAACCACAGGGAACAGAAGCAAAGAAAGCAAAGTGTGAGCAACCCAGAAGAGGGGATTATAGACTTATTTTAATTTCTTAAAATGTAATTTAAATAATCAGTCTTCACAATTTCTGTTTCTAGAAAGTTTTCTTCTTTATCAGCTCTCATGTAGGTAAGGGAATAATATTTCACCTTTAAAAAATGGAGCAAAGATTTCAGCTCAAGTGTGATGTATACTGAGTGGGCAATTACTTAAAGAAAGCAAGAGTAAGACACATCAAACTTTAAAGTGTTCACTTTTCAACATTAAAATAAGTGGCAGGTAAATACAGAAAAATATATAATTACCAGTTCTCAGCTTTTTATCAATCCCTTTGTTTCTCTTCTTCTAGAAGATTCTATGAGCGCTCTGTTGCTCGATCAAAGGTAACCTCACTACTCAAATATCATCATAGCTTCAATGTGCATTATCATGATTTCAGTAGATTCACACTCAAATCCTTTTAGTGCCAGAAATGTATCAAGCCATAAAGTCATTAAACACTTAGCTGTTATGGAGAGATCTGGGCAAAATTTGTACAAGAAATTTAATTAATCATTTTAAATTATTTCATAATTGCGGTAACACTTTTTTAAAGTAACCCTTTGGAAAAAAATTTACATGATACCCAAAGGCACTAGTTCACATAAGGGGTGAATGGCTGAAAACAAACAAACAAACAAACAAACAAAGCCATAATATAGGTAAAGAGCACACACACACACGCACACGCACACACACAAGAATATTAAAAGGATAACTAAGCTTTAAAGTTATTCTAAAAGTGGCACTTTTCACGTTGGTATAAAATGAAAGTGCTTTAAGATGAAATTTTTATGCATTTTTTAAAGCTGATCTTAACCCCCTGAAAATAGGGGATTATAATGAGAACACTGATAGGCTAAATCATAGTGGCAATAATAGTGAATGTTGCTTAAAATGCTTTGTGTTTGTCTTTATTTTTTAGTCTTTTAAATGTCAATAGACTTGCTTTATCTATATGTGTATCATCAGTGAGATTTGCTCTTCAACTTTTTTACTAGAAAGTTACAGCTCATTTAAAATAGCTGGTAGATACAGAAAGCATAAATATACAGTAAGTTTAAACACTGATTGTACTAAATGCAACAATACAAAGAAGCAAACAGAACACAAATGGTAACACAATAAAACTGTATTACATTTGTGCTTCAAATACATTATGTACAATAGTCCAAAATAAACATCTCATGCCAAGTGACACAAAAACAAATAGCAAGCAAAAAATCCAGCAATATGTACATTACTTTTTTCTTTGATAATAAACATTCAACTCTGAACTGGGGCAATTTCACTACATACAGATGCAGTCCCCCTTTTATTTCATATATCCATCCTGCTTTCCTATATCTACGCTATTCAGTAGGTTCCTGTGTCAATTCTTATATACATGTAGAGCAAAAAAGATAAAAGGATTAGTGCTTTGTATTCTTAATGGGCGATGTTGACAGATCAGCGAACCTGGGGTGCATAACCTTCTTTCATTAAACCTTCCTCGTAGTCCGTCTGGCAAAGGATCATGTTATTCTTCAGGAAAAATTTGTCTCCAACACAAAATCTGAAAATATTTAAGAAAAATCAAATGTGTTAAGACCATTTCACTCAGGCCTATTGAAGATTTCTTGTCCTAATTATAATTTCACATGGTAATTCCTTGAATCTGAAAGCTTGACTTAGAAAGTTGTCCTTATTTTCAACACTAAAACATTTCACACAGACTTTGAAATCCTACTTTTGTATATAAAAGTCATAGGAATGTCAAGGAAAACACATAGGGAAGCAAAGGTGATTTTTAAAATTTACCACATTGGAAAAAAATAGAACTGACCTATATATATATATACTCATTAAAATAAGAATGAATAATATTTCACTGCAGTGATGATGGAAGATTTCATGATTGACCATTTATTAATTTTACAAAAAAAAAAAAAAAAAAAAG